ATGTTTCAAGTAATTCTTAAAAATTATTTCTTATGCTTAAAAAATATGTCACCAGATGTTTCAAGTAATTAAAATATGAGACGCTTAAAAAATATGTCACCAGATGTTTCAAGTAATTCTGTAGTAAAATTTCCTAACATATCAAGTTTGTAACAAGAGTGTTTCTTCTAATAACATTTTAATCAGCTAGACTGTTTCTTCATGTGTATAATTTGTGAAATGCCTTGTGACATGTGTTGATATTTTATGCTTATTTTCAGACTTTTTTCATGCATAATGCTATATCTGTAGTTAACTAAGGTTTTTCATAAAATGTTAGAGTTAGATTTTTATCAGGTAAAATTGCCTTTGCTTTGACTCACTTACTGATTCTAGAGTTAAATGAATTTGATCACATAAAAATTAGGAATTTATTTGTTTACAGGTTTTCACAACGTTTTTGAAAGATTTTTAGGACCATCAAACATTTAGGACCATCAAACTTGTATTACAAGTTATCATAACATATAAAACATTTTTTGAAATAGAATTCATATCGTTGGTTTTTCAAAAACAGCAACTACCTGATACAATAACATTTTTGTAACATACACCTTGTCACAGAGAGTTGCTAGTAGAAGTTTTCAAAGTAGAAAAAAAAGAAGTAAAAGTTCCTTGCAATTTTAGAATAAACTAAACATTTATACCAGAGGAAAATTGTGCAAAATATTTTTTTAGTTTAAACTTTATGAAGTTTTGATGCCAACCAAATCATATTTTAAATTGTTGCTAGACGTTTTAAAACTTGTATTAGGTAAACATTTTATCCAATGTATTTTCTTCTCTTTGTCTCAGTTTTTGCTACGGCTTCTCGCTTGATAAATTTTAGTCACTATGTAATAAAAAGATTGCAAGTAAATAGTTTGAATAAATAATAACTTAACAGGGGTAAGTATAAACTTGTTTCAAAATAAGAAAAATTGACTTTTACAACAGTCAATTTTCCCTTTTGTTTAACCCAGTCCAATTTATGTTGATACGCTGCGAGATATTTGACATTCTTTCAAAAATTTATGGGCTTGTGAGACAAAACCCAATTAACACATTGGTTTTTCAGTGAATTATTTGATTTTTCTTAATTTTTTTTTTTTTTTTAATGTTGATTTAGGTGCCCCAAGAAGTCCTTAAGGGCTTATCACAGAGCACCGCGGAAGAGCATTTAATAGGAAGTTCACGCCTCCTTCCCAACCGATGTCGCAAAACTTGCCCAGAGGTGGGTTTGAACCACAGATCTTACGTTTCTGAGGCAAGTGCGCTACCACTGCGCCACGGCTGCTTCAATGAAATATTTCCGTAACCTATTCAACTCAGTTACAACTCTAAATAAATTTTTGAAGTGCCACATTTTGACTATTTGTAACCTAAATTATTTTTCTCTTTTGCGTGAAAAAAGAAATGTATGTAACAGGGCAGCAATCTTTTCTTTCATTATTCATTTCTTTGTTCTTTTTCTGAAAAATTAAAGCGCACATTTTTAATTTAAGAGTGCAAAAATGATATTAAAAAATTTCGACCTAACATATGAATTGAGCATAGTATATATATATATATATATATATATATATATATATATATATATATATATATATATATATATATATATATATATATATATATATATATATATATATATATATATATATATATATATATATATATATGTATAAAAACAATAAAATTTAATGTACTTCTGCATTAATTTAATTGCTTTGACATTTCAATAACAATAAAATGTAGCTTAATTTTCGAAGTAGCAAAGTTGTAGTTGAAAGAGACTTTTTTTACATTAAAAGTCTCTTTCGACTATGATATAAGGATATATATATGTGTGTGTGTGTATATGTATGTGTATATATAATATATATATATATATATATATGTGTGTGTGTGTGTGTGTGTGTGTGTGTGTGTGCGTGTGTGTGTGTGTGTGTGTGTGTGTGTGTGTGTGTGTGTGTGTGTGTGTGTGTGTGTGTGTATACAAATACAAAATATATAAGGAGTAGTTACTAAAAATCTGGACTAACTTTAATTGACTTTTAAATGCAACAAGCTAAACTTTTTTTTTCATTCTTATATTCATTTTAAAACTTATTTAATTATCTATAAGTTAATTTACTTGTTTTTAGATAATTAATAAAAATTAAGATAATGATTTCCAAGCAAGAAGCGATAAGTTAACAGATTTATGAGTTCTTTTTGAATAATAAATTGCAAAGTAAAAAGTTCACACTAGATCACTTCAATGCTGAGCAAATTCCAACAAGCACTATCTATGATATAATCAAGCTTGGTCGGGAAGCGGGTGCGATCGCACTCGATAACTGACCACGGAAATAATATTTAGTTGCGAAAAACCTGCCAGATTTTTTAGTCATTTGGAGAACATTCAAGTTCACGTTAGGGTTCACGTTAGGGTTCACGTTAGGGTTCACGTTAGGGTTCACGTTAGGGTCAACGTGGGGTTACCCCCTCCTTCACACACACCCCTTCGCGCCGGCCTTGAGCCCATTCACTAAGCATTATCAGCGGTAATGTGAAGGTGTTCCGCTTCCTCCTCACTAAGTAATTTAACGTTTTTAGTTAATTTCTATCTAGTTAATTGAATTTCTACAGTCAATGATTTAATTATTTCGTTTGTTCATCTTACTAAAAAGAATAGTTTCAAATCTGTTAAACTTTTCAAACTACGCAAAGCATAAAACAGTTATTAAAAAAACCTTTTTATTTATAAATAAATCATCTAGCGTTAGTTTTACTGGTTGAATCTTGTTGGACTTTTCAGGGCCGCGGGCTGCATTGTTTTAGTGGCATTTATTATGTGCCACAGCATAAAAATGACTAAAAAAAATACAGAATGGTCCTTTTGACTATTTTGCGGCCTCTAACATTGTGAGTCCCGGGGCTATAGCCCTTCTACCCCATCCCCCTCTTCCCCACCACCTCAATCTAGCACTGGAAATAAGACAAGTATATAAATAAAAATTATATACTCGTTGATAAATTAAAGAACATTTGCTTCCTTATTAAACAATCATTAATAGTAAGTTGTTACTTTATATAAAAAATGTCGCCTAATTTTATAAAAAAAATATAAAAGAACGACGTTTCAAAAATATTTGCTCTAATCGTATTTTTTTGCTTAAAGTTTTCTTGCGTTAAAAGCTGTTTTCTTTTTTTAACTGTCTCTCAACAGTCCAGTTAATCTTGTTGCGCTTTTTTGTTTGTTTTTGCAATGTTCTCAAAATGACTAAAAAATCTGGCTGGTTTTACGCAACTAAATATTATTTCCGTGGTCAATTATCGAGTGCGATCGCACCCGCTTCCCGACCAAGCCTGTATAATAAAACGCACTGAGAATGATTCTGGAAACAAAAGAGTGCAAGGGAGAGATTGTGTAGCCAAAATCATGACCCCCAAAGTAATCAAGCATCTGAGAACCATGTTTGACCACAATGACAAAGTTTCGATGAGGCAAGCTGGTCAAAAATTTGGATGCAATCATCCACATATCATTAAAACTCATGCCAAGTACACTGACATCAAAACTTATATGAAACAGTGTATACCTGATTGACAAAAGAGCCAGAGTGAGCGAATCAAGACTGATCATCTTTATCACAATTTTTAAGTAAAATCGGTCATCCTTGACAACAAATCTTTCTTCACGCTGTCCTACTCAACAATAAACCAAAATAACACCTACTCTAGCAACAGAGACAGATTTCATTAAGCGTTAAATATTGCAAAACACGCAAGTTTTTTTTGATAAAGGATTTTCTGAGCGATTTTTTGTCCCTAATGGCCTTGCAGTCAATAAAGCCATCTACAAAATAGATTATATTAAGGGAAGATTAGTGCTGTTCATCAATGCTCATCATGCCGATGGTAATTATTTATTTTGGTTAAAACTGTGACCAATTGCAATGAGATTCATAACATAAGTTTTGTTAAAAAAATTGACAATCCGCCAGCCATACCGGAGTGTCTCTAATTTGAAGACTTTTGGGCTATTTTGAAAGGCAAAGTGTATGAGGGTAACTGGCAAGCATATATATGGTAAAATCCTACAAATATAGGATTTTTTAGAAAAAATCCTGCATGGATTTTTTGAAGCACACCCCTTATTTCAGCAAAAAACATCAAATTAAATTTTCTCCTGTGGACATAACTAAAATATTTTAATTTTTGCATCAAAGTGATCCCCAATATCTTTAGAATCACTCCTTCAAGGTTATTTTTGCATTGTTTCTACAAAGATTAAGACCCTTTTTTAGACAAAAGATGCACAATAAAATACTGGTTTTGAAAATATTTATTTTATTAAATCAAAAAATTTTGTTAGGAAAAAAATAATGTACCTAATTTTGAATAAAAATTAAAACATTTTCAAAATCAGTTTCTTTTTCAGTTCTGTTCTGTTTCTGCAGAATTGTTCTGCTTCTTTTGAGTCCTAGATTGACAAAAATAAACTAACATATATTAGAAATGTTGGGTCAGGAACCTTAAGAAATCAACTAAATTTAAAAATATTTTCTTACTTTCCTGTTATAACTAATAGAACACAATAGTTTATTTTTTTTTTACATAGAAATTATTTAAAATAATGTATTAAATATTTTAGAAACTTTTTGAGCTTGTGAAACTTTACAATAAAAAATGTCTAGGAAGTAAAGTTTTTTACATGTAGCACTTTCTGAGCACTCAGTGATCAGAAATTAAATTGTAAAATACTACAAATTTTACTAAGCAATGTAAAAAAAGCTATCCTTAATTTTAAAAAGCTATCCTTAATCTTAATGAGTAATATCAATGTATTAGTTTAAAAAACCAAAAAAGAACTTTTTGCCTGCAAATCTAATTTTTTTTTATTTTTTTATTTTGAGAATAATTTATATAAACAAGATTATAAATTTATAAATATAACAATTAAAGGTTGTTTTTTTTTTTTTTTTTTTTTTTAGATCAGTCATATTTTGAAAAAATACAATCTATTTCAATTCCTGACAATGTGCAAATAGAAATTTTTAAAGAAACTGATTTTCAAGGTCTGTAAGATTTATATAAATTTTAAAATATTATATTTTTTGTTTGTTTTTGTATTAAAGGTTGTTATCTATAATATTAGTGTTTAAGTTTAAGTTAATAGGTTACCTTATACATGCATCTTCTAATACATGAAAAAATGTATGTGCTCATATGGTAAAAAGCTAACAGGAATCCTAGAAGTAGCCTTGTTTTGTCAAATTTGACTAACAAATTACCCTAGTGGCATTGTAGTTACACTTACCAATGGTCGCTTTACATCCTACAAACAACGTCAAGAAATCAATATCTTGTAATAATGGGTGCTACCTAAATATTGTTTGTAATTGGTTAAGTTAAATTATTTTTTATAATAATTGATCTAGCCATTCTTTGATTCATTCATCCCAATTTTCCAATATTCTATTATTTTCTACAAATTAAGACATTTTGAAGACATTTATGTTATATACATACACATGTATGTATATAACATATTAAATCTTAGCTTTGTGTATGTCATTTTCAATAAATTATGGATTTTCCTAAAAAATACTAAATTGATTTTAAACTTTTGCAAGAAACTGTAAATCAGATTAACCTGCATCATCAATCCACCATCTTATTCCTACCTCAACCACGTCCCTGGTTTCTCTGCGCAGCGGCCTTGTTCATCAAGGTTCGTGTTTTGGAGTTATAGAATTGAGAAAGGGTTATAACCACAAATAAGTAGCCTCCTCGTCTGTAGTGGCCTTCTCGGCCTTGAGGAGGTAAATTAAATTAAAAAAAAACTCCAAGCACTGCTAGTTACATTAGAGGCATAGGTTAGAAATGGGCTAAATAGGCTTCATAAGAAATCATTTTCATTGCAGATTATCATATTATTAACTTTATTTATGATAATTACTGCTTTTTTTTTATTGTTATTATTATTAATATTTTTATATTTAGGCACACAAAATAGCAGGCGGTCAACAAATGCCAAAAATAATCATAATTGCTGTTTTTATCTCCCAAAATAAATTTTTGCTAGTTGAGGATGACAGGCTAAAAAAATCTGATTTTTTTAATATAAGTTTTTACAAATAACCAGGATGTATTTTAAAAATATTCATAACATCTAAAAAAAAATTTTTTTAACTAAAGTATTATAAAATTGCGCCTAAAATTTTTTGTTGTTTATGAAAAGTTACTTTTAATTTGCTTCGTTGACACATATATGATGTTAGCTATATCTTCTTTTTTTTACATACCTTTACCAGTTTCACTTCACTGTAAAATCAATAGTTTTCTTTTACATACTTGATTAAGGTTCTTATTTTACAATTATTTTCTTTTGTTAATTAAAAACATTTTACTTCAAACTAATTTTTTTTTTCCTTGTCCAATTTTTACTATTAAATCTTCTTAAGAAACTTCCCAAAGTTTTTCTACCATTTGTGAATTAATTGCAACAAATGAATGTATTAACTTGTTAAACAATTTAAATTTTAATTATCATTAGTGCAAATAATTATCAGATTAGTGCATTTTTGCTATTGAGTTATCAAGAAAACGATTAGCATTTTAGCATTTTAGTAATTTGTGTGGCATTCAATAAAACTATGATCTTATTAATTATTCAGTTTCAGTTATTTTTATTTTTTTTTTGGTGCTAAAAATAAAAAATTGTGGTAGCTTAGACTTCATATTGTAGTATGCTAAGGTTTCGTCTACAGCTGCACTTGGTTGCTACTTTCAATCACTCAAACTTAATGATAAAATTTAAAAATTAAGAATGTCTTAGTGCGTTGTGAAGCATTAGATGGTAAAAAAAATAGTTGACTATTATTTTTATGTGCTAGCCAGTCAGTGACTTACTTTAATTTTTTATTTTGTGTGCTGATATTATTATTTTTACATAGCTATCTGGACTTGTAAAATATGGTTCATGGTAAAATCTCTTTACTTGTTTTTTATATGGTTTCATTACTTCAATATTTTATTGTAAACAGTAGAAAAATATGCATTTAAAAATCAAAGCTTTGCATTTACAACTAAAGTTTCATACTCTAAAACTTCTTATAATAACATTTTCTGCATACATTATTAGAAACCTCTTCCCATTTATTTCGGAAAAAAAAAGGTTTGAATGTACATCTTCCTACAATAGAAAAAAAAAATTAGTGTTTCTTTATTGTTAGATGCGCAGTCTTACCTAAATAATTATGTAAACACTCTAATAACATAAGTATCTCTAACACCGATAACAACTTTGACATTTCGCCTTGTGTTTTTCAAAATTTATGGGAAAGCAGGGTTGATTGTCACAATACTTATAATAAAAAGACTACAAAAGATGTGAAACTTTTGAATCACTTGTTTAATGAACATTGGCAACGTTTATCTGCCCACTTGATTTCAAGTTGATCAGACCATTACAAAAAAAGTTATTGCAAAAGTTTCATTTTAAGCCTTGTTAAGTAAAATTTTTGATATTTTGTGTTTTTCTTCTACCAAGTTTAGTAAATAAGTTTTTAATATTGATTAATCTTGTTAGTTCACCAATTCATGAATTTAAATCAATTAATAAACGGCTATTAAAGTGCATGCATCTAACATCGATCTCCAAATATTATTAGTCATGAAGGAATTGCCTGTCACATTTTGTTTAAGGATAATTGTCACACTGTGACAAGCAACCCCATGAATCTTTTTAATTGATAATGAAATATTTTACATAATAAATATGTTTTTGTTTTTTCTACAGAAATACCACAACATTTTTGTAGAAAATCTAATAAAGGCAACATTTCTACAGATACTATGCTTTAAGCTATTGAAGATGTCAAAATGAATGGTAAATATATCAGAGGGGTAGCAAAAGACTATGGCATAAATTATTAAACTTTAGCGAGATCTTGCAAGAAACTAACCCTGACTGACATACTAGAAGTACATCAGTCAGGAATAGTATTAGTGTTATGTTATATATAACACTAATGCTTTGAGACTTAAAAATTGAGAGATATTGCCAGTCATTTTTGAAAAAGAACTGGTCACATATCTTTTGCAAACTTCTTAAATGTATTTTGGGTTGTCTCCTAAGGAAGTAAAAAAGCTGGCTTTTCAACTGGCAGAAAAAAATTTCTGTTCCTGAATCTTGGATGAATTTAAAAGAAACAGGAAAAAATTGGTTTACTGCATTTATGAAGTGCCATCCACAGATCTCCATCAGGCAATCTGAAGCAATCAGTTTAAGAGCTTCTAGTTACAACAAAGTAAATGTGAAACTATTTTTTGACAATATATAACAATGACTTTGGACGAAAAAGGGGCACTAGTTACACTTGCTTGCACAGTAAATCCTACTGGCAATAGTAATCCTCCATTTTTTATTTTTCCTCGGGTCCATTTCAAAGATCATTTTATTAGAGATGCTCCACCAGGAAGTACAGTAGATTCAAATGCAAGTGGCTGAATGAACAAAGCCATTTTTATGATATATTTAAAACACTTTGTAATGAATACAAGGTGCAGTAAAGAGAAGCCCTGTCTTCTATTGCTTGACAACCACAAGACACACTTAAGCATTGAAGGTTAAGACTTTGTTAAAGATAATAGATTGGTGATGCTGACATTTTCATCACACTGCACACACAAACTATAACCATTGGATCAATCAGTATATGGACTACTTAAAACACACATTAACACTGCAGTTGATTCTTAGTTGTTTATGCATCCTGGAAAAACATTGACCATATATGACATTTTCAATAATTATGAAGGTTGCGCTTTCCTTGGCTGTTACTCCACAAAATGTTTTATGTAGTTTTGCTTAAACAGGGATATTTCCTTTGAATCCGGACATTTTTTCTGATGATGAGTTTTCTCCCAGTTGTGTAATTGATTGTATAAATTTTTTGGAAACATCCTTTCTTGTTGAGAACTCTGAAACAACCTTTCAACCTGTTGATATGCCTAATTTATGTCTATCCACTAACTCTGATCCTCAACCAGGCTCATCTAAAGAGCAAGTTCAAGGTTCTGAGGAACTCCATGAACCCACAATAGATATTTTAGAAAAGACAAATGCTCTTCTGCAGAAATTAGGCCTACAATCTGATCTAGATGCTGATTTCAGTAGGCCTGAATATGTCACCCCAGAAAAAATGAGGCCATTTCCAAAAGCAGGGCCAAGAATAACCTCTACCAGAGGCAGGAAGAGGCATTCATCACTAATAGCGATCAACTCCCTTGTAAAAGCATTACTACCAAGCGAGAAAACTACGATTACAAAAAAAGGAATTGATAAAGGTGGCCATAAAGGCAAATCAAAAATGAATCTTGCAAAAGTAAAAGGCAAAGCTGCAAAAAGTGTTGAAACTTTGTCAGAAGATGAGAACAATTTTTGCTTGTACTGTTGTGAGTCCTTTGCTAATAGCAGACCAAAAGAAACAAGGGTACAGTGTCTAAAATGCAAGAAGTGGGTTCATGAACAATGCACATCAGGCATGCTGAACTTTATATGTTTAAATTGTGACTCAGATGAAGAGTTTAATTCTTTAAATCTTGTCTAATATTATATTGTATTAAAAAGCTTTGTCTATTATTCTAGATCTAATGTTCAAATGTGAATGATTTCATAATACAATAAAACAATTAGTTATGTTTCAATAATAAATCAACTGATATAATCATGGGACAACCAACCCTGTCCTGTGTGACAACCAACCCTCATAAAAGAGTTGGTTGTCACACTTGTGATTCTGAGGAGAAGTTTATTACTACCACTACATAAATTATGATTACACAAAATTAATGTTTTTTCTTTTTCATATACCTTTTATCATTTTATATTTATTCATTTTAAATATTGATATATCTATGCATATTTATATTGGTTTAAAAGTAAGTTAAACTTTTGTATTTAATAAAAATTTATGGTTACTTATGTGTCCTTTTTTGTTTTAGGTATATTTTAACGATAAAACTACTGTTGACTATGAATTGTGTATAAGTTTTTTCTTCTTAAAATAAGTCTTCGTTTATTCTAAACATCTATTTGTTTGTCTTTATTACTTATCCTTCTATATATAAAAATCTTTTTTTAATAGAAATGTTTCATATTTCTCTGTGGGCTTTTATTACTCCATCTAGTTCAAGCACCGTAGATTACCGGCATCAAGTATAACAAAAATATCTAAAATAAAAAGTTAAATATCTTAACTTTAAAAACTAAAATAAGGATCTTAGCTTTATAAGTAAATTACTGTAAGACTCATTAGAATCATGATTCAACTTAGCTGAAAAATAGAAATAAAGGCTTGAATAAGTTTTAAAAAGTCACAAATATAATAGGTGATATAATAAAAAATTACTGATGACGTCCTTATTTCAATTTATTATAATATTAAAACTCGACTTTAAATGAGCAACAAATCTTTTCTAATAAATAATAAATTAATATACAATTTTAATACCATCAAATGAAACTAAAAACTTCTCATTTGCAATCTCATTAGAAATATTTATTTGAATAATTGTAATGTATTTAAAATGTAACATAATAGACAGCTTAATGTCATCATTATCTTCATATCTAAACAGAAAAATAAAAACTGCATCTTTACAACAACTTAGCAACTAATCAAACAAATTTTATTCTAAAACACTGCATAAGTAACTGTATAACTTCATAACATTAGGATAAATATAAATTTAAAATAAAGAATAATTATAAATTAGAACCTCTGACTTGTGATATACTGTGGTACTAATAAAAATACAAATTAAAATATTGCTAATCAACTTTTAAACATTTTGAACAAAAAATAATTGTGGAAATGGAAACAAACAAAAAAAAGCATGTGTAAAGTTTATAAAAAGTTGCTAAAGGTAAAATAAAATTTATAAAACCTAACTTTTCCTTTAAATATCATCAGACAATAACACTGTACTTAATAATTAGGTTCACATATGACACAATTAAATAACTAATATTTTATGTTCGATGTATGTTACGCTACACAAAGTCATATAAAACCAACTAAAATAAAGAACCATTTTTACTTATGCTTTAAATAAGGTCATCACTACTTTCTTTTAATTTGAACAGCCTGTTAAAATTATTTACAAAATAGAATATGTTTCATTACTTAACTTGTTGAAAATAAAAACTTTAGTAATTCTAAAAGCAGATTAAAAAATTACAAGATACGTACTATTTATAAATAAACTTTATAATTTTAATATTTATGATAATTTTGACAGAAAGATTTAGAAATACATCGGAGATTTAAGAAGGTTTAATAAGAAATACAAATTTGATACTTGATACTATTTGAACTTAACTGTGCGCACATTGACAATTAACCTTGTACAAATTTAGATTAAGGTGTCTCAGTTGGCTCATAAAAAGATTGTCTCATTTGGCTGATAAAAAGATTGTCTCAGTTGGATGATAAAAAGATTGTCTCAGTTGGCTGATAAAAAGATTGTCTCAGTTGGCTGATAAAAAGATTGTCTCAGTTGGCTGATAAAAAGATTGTCTCAGTTGGCTGATAAAAACTTATAGAGACTACAATACTATTTTAATGGTTTTTTAAATTTTGGCACTGTTGCGCATTACATTTTGAATATTTTAAATAGGGAAGTAATACATAGCTATAAACTCCCAAATTTACTTATTCCCTTGATAATATGTAATTTTAAAACTTCCTTTCATTTAATATAAAGCAACGCTAATAAAATATTTTATTTTATATATAAAATTAAGATTTTAAATTATGTTTTAATTAAAAACATAATTTTATAAACTCCCATATATTATATGTACATATTGTATTACACAATTTATTTTCCTTACGCAATTGTATTTTCCTTACGCAATTCTCATTTCCTATATTTTTTAGTAATAAACACTCCTCAATTTATATTTTGGGTTTGGCAAACTATTTTAAGAATGAGCTATTTTACCTTAAGGTGGCTGTATAAAATATCTTTTTAAATGTTATTGTGTGTAGTATCACTGTGCGGAATAACCAAGCTAAAATACTCATCCTTTATATATATATATATATATATATATATATATATATATATATATATATATATATATATATATATATATATATATATATATATATATGTTTACATCTTGTACAAAAGTATATATATATGTATGTAAATTACTTTAAAGCATCAAATAATTTGAATTCTCTCAATACTAAATAATTTATTTGAAATTTTTGCTGGATTATAGGCATCAGCATCATCAGCATATAATATAATTACAAAATTGTGACCATTATATAACAACAAAATTTTACAATACCACAAGGAAAATGCAATAAAAATAGCAATGAAAATGATTTCTTCAATTGGTATTAAATCCTTTCATAGATATTTAGATGATAGCCACGCTAGGTTTTCTAACTTAAAGCAAGCAGAATAGTTTCAAACAATCCTTAAAAGACAACATTCCCCTTTTAAATATACTATTGAAGTTAAAAACAAAAATAAGAAAAGTATGAGTACAAGTTTTACAGGGAAGATGCTATTACCAATATTCAAATCGAACCTCATTCTAATCATGATCTCAAAATTTTAAAAGCAATATTCAGTTTATACATACATTGCATCATAAATAATTTACAAGATGAGATAAATATCTTTATTAAAGGATTTACTGAAAATGGGTACAATGAAAAAATGCTTAATGACATTTCTTATTAGGTTTGAAAAAAAAATTCAGTAAATAAAAATGAAATCCAATCAAACTCTAATATCCTTCATACAATCTCTTTACCACAGGAACCAATAATATCTTCCAGACTTCTGAAAGATATTCAGAAAAGCTGTTTATGGAACTGTTTTAAATCAAATCCTAATTTAAAACACTATTAATAAATCAAAATTGCCATACAACAGCCAACCAGGAACCTATTTAAGTGCATATCCACGTCCCTGGTAGTACCGCGCTCAACTTGTTTCTCTGCGCAGTTCGTCAAGGTTCGTGTTTCGGAGTTATAGAGTTGAGAGAGGGTTATAGCCACAAAATAAGTAGCCTCCTCGTCTGTAGTGGCCTTCTCGGTCTTGAGGAAGTGAAGTATAATAAAAAAATATATATATCTTCTAAAGTGTATGTTAATGAATCAAATCTTTAAATACAAACAAGGGTGAACCTTTGTTCGTATTTAAACAACACCAGAAATGTTTTATTGGAAGGCAAGTTAAACCAGTCAGCATTAGCTTTGTATAGAGTAAATTGCAATAAGGACATTGAATATGATTAAGTAAAAAAAAAAACTTCTGTGAAGTCTTTGAGATACAAAAATATCAATGTTCTCCAATGTATGGTGGTATAAATTTAGACAATGTACAATATGTCAAAAAGAATTTTTGAAATTCATTTTTTTCATATTTATGTAAAAGAAACCATTATAAAGCTGACATCAAGTTTAAAAAAATTTCTTGTTATTTCAGTCACGATTTTGTAATTATATTATATGCTGATGATGAAAGTAATCCTGCGAATATTTATTAAAATTTTTAGTATTATTTAGTATAATTTTTATAAAAAAGAATTTTCAAACTTTTTTTGAATGTGGTTTTTATTTATATTTTGGTTTTTGTTTAATGTTTATATCTGTTTTCAGGCGATAGTTACAGTTTGCCTGGCCCTAATCTTATTGATGACTTTTGTCAAAAGTCAATAACAAAGTCCATGAAGATTTCACACCACAATAAAAAAGTTTCAGACATGGTGATGATTTGTAAAGGAATATCTCTTTCTAAGCAGTGTGAATACCTCGAAAAGGATGTAATACTTGTTTTATTTTCTTCTTTTATATTACTTTTGGTAATGCATATTTCATGGTATTGAATGTCATATTATATATATATATATATATATATATATATATATATATATATATATATATATATATATATATATATATATATATATATATATATATATATATATATATATATATATATATATATATATATATATATATATATATACATACATATATATATATATATATATATATATATATATATATATATATATATATATATATATATATATGTATGTATATATATATGTATACATATATATATACATACATATATATATACATACATATATATATATATACATATATATATACATACATATATATATATATATGTATGTATGTATATATATATATGTATGTATATATATATATATATATATATATATATATATATATATATATATATATATATATATATATATATATATATATATATATATATATATATATATATATATATAAAAGTAGTAAAAAAACCAGTGCATTTACGGAAGAATCAGTTAATGTTTAAATTTGGTTTAATTTTTTTTTATTTATTCTAGGACATAATTGCTACATAGCCTGCTATATAGCTACTATGTAGCCAGCTAGTAAACGACCGTCGTTGAAATTTGACCAGGTCCAGGATTCTGACTGGGGCTGCATAAACATTTATACATCCAAAAGTTTTTTTTAATTAAAAATTGTTATATTTTGTGTTTATATGATCAAATAAACATTATATATGATTATATAAACATTATGATCAACATGATCATCATTATCATCATCATCATCTTCTTTCTTTTGACAAATACTACACCATATAAATACTAAAGTTTATGTAAATATAAAAGGATATTGTATGCCAGCCTCTAAATTAAATAACAAACATATATGTTTATATGTATACATAAAGCGCAGAAGCTTTTATTCCTTCTGGACTAAAAGTTTGGAAGCTTTTATTCCTACTCTTTAATTTTAATCAAATCTCATTCTATCGGGTGGACACGGAAAAATCCGGTCAACTTTAAATTGAGATTTCTCTAAAACCATAAATGCTATTTATTTTAATTTTTTATTATTAAATGTATTTACATCAATTAGAGTTTCAACTTAATTTTAGGGGCTTGATGGACTGCTTGGCAAGAGAGCGAATTTTATAGCGGATTGATGCCATCACTTTGCAGATTATTTTTTTTCAACTTATTGGTGACATTAATCCACTTTTTTTGGAAGTCCTTTTTCTTTTTTGTTACTCCACCTGGCTTACAAAGAACTTCTTTAACTATTGCCCAAAAATCTTCAATCTTGCGCTCTTCAGGATGATTTGGAGGATTCGCATTTTTTAGAAACAATTTTTACATTATTATCTTTGCACCACTGTAGAACTTTTTTAGAATAGTGAGAAGCAGCAAGATCTGGCCAAAAGAGACATCAGTATTTGTGTTTTTTCATAAACGGCAAAATTTCTTTTTTGGAGGCAGTCTTTAATGTAGAGATCGGCATTCAAGGTCTTTTTTAAATTGCTTGCCACATAAGGAACTTGCAAATTTTTGCAAGTTTTGCAAATTTTTCTTGTTGATGAAAATTTTTCTTGTTGATGCAAATTTTTTCTTGTCGATGCAAATTCTTGTCAATGCAAAATTTTTCTTGTCAATGCAAATTTTTTTGTCGAATATATTTAAATTGATCATCAACAGGTTTATCTTTGTTCTCATAGTAAAATTGTTGACCAGGAAGTTGTGAAAAATCCGCCTTGCAATATGTTTCGCCGTCTTCAATTATGCACATACTTTTACATTAACTTCTTTGCGCGTTGAATTCCTCTAATTTCACCATTTAAGCTTCTCTTAGATGTATTTTTCCTATGAAATCCTTTAGTTCCAGTATTTTTAAGTACTTTTTTGAAGAACGCAAAATCTTGAATTTTCTTGCTAGATCTCATTGTGACTGGTTTGGATTTCTTGCTATTGAACGTAAAATTAACTTTACCTTTTTGGATTTATGGAAGGTTTTCTTTCTTCCACTTCCAAGTTTTCCTTCGAAGCTTTGAGTAGTCTTGAACTTATTTATAATATCTATGTTTGTAGATTTTGATACATTTTTACATTTAGCAATCAAGCGATATGAAGTTGATGCAAAAAAAAATCACAACTTATTAACGCACATCAATTTGTTGGCAAAACATTTTGCAAATCATTGATTTGTAAACAAAAGTTTATCAACACAATTAAAAATAAGGAAGTAACATTTAATTAAAAAAATAAAAGAAATAAAAAGCATTTGTGGTTTTAGAGAAATCTCAATCTAAAGTTGACCAGATTTTTCCGAGTCCACCCGATACTCCATTTCACCATCTTGAACAGTTGCATTATTAATCATTTATTTCATCTTTTTATTTAAAATATCTCTCTTATTAACAAATCTCATTTTATTATTCCAATAAGCTAATGTAATAAGGTTCCATCTGATGTTATGCTCTGTTATTCTCAGTTTACTCAATCTTGTATCCTATATCAGATGTTAGGTTCTAGAGATTTTTTGTTAGTGTTCAACAATGTCATTAACTAAAGTAAGTCTAACATTTAATCTTATTAATTATGTAATATTTAATAATATTTAATTTTTAAAAAGTGCTAAATAAGGGGTTCCAATTTTTCAAAACTCTAGAATATACTTTGACCTTTCCAATAATCCTATATTTAGTCTTCACTCTGTTATTAGTTTTTTTATATAAAGGTTTCGAGATTATTAAATAATTTCTTAGTAACTCCAGTAATAAAGTTATTCTTGATGACCTACACTCTTCTTTATTTCAAGTAATTTTAAGGGTACCACAAGGTATCTTGTGGTACCCTTGAGTCTTTGCTCCTGTATTGTTTCTTATCTACAATATCAATCTTCATGAAAATTTAACATCTAAAGTCGCTCTTTGTTGACGACTCAACTTTATGCTCTTGTCTTAACAAAAAATCTTCACTTTTTGATTGCTTAGAACAAGCAGCTGATTTTTAATCTGATCTCTCTTCTGTAACAGCCGAAGGCTTGCTGTTGGTATGGCTGTGGCTGATATTTTATATGATATAGGCTGTTACAGAAGAGAGGTCAGATTAAAAATCCATAATTTTTGTTTGACAAAAAAACTCATTTATTTACTGCAAAAAAAGATTGCAAAAATGTTGGTATTCCTATATTGATGAATAACAACCCTCTTACTCTCAGACAAAGTCTAAAAGCACATTGTAAATGTAATGCGATGGTAGTGTAGTGGTATAGCGCTTGCATCATAGACAAGAGGTGCCAAGTTTGATCCCCACCACGTCCCTGGTAGTACCGTGCTCAACTTGTTTCTCTGCGTAGTAGCCTTGGTTGTCAATGTTCGTGTTTCAGAGTTCTATAGTTGAGAGAGAGTTATAATCACAATTAAGTAGCCTCCATGTCTGTCGTGGCATTTTCAGCCTTGGGGAGGTCAATTACCAAAAATAATAATAAATTAGACATGCTTCATGCCAAGCTTGAGCCACTTTTCCATTCTTGTCAGGTTGCATTTCTTTCTTTTTTCTACAAATACAATCATGGTCAATGCTCAAATAAGCTTATCTCTATTACGATAAACCAAAACTCATTCTCGCTTGTTTCTTATTAAACAAGTTGCATCCTTAACTGTATCTGCTCCTTATAAAATCTTTTATTAATCCAATTTTTTTCCTTGCACACCCAAAAAACCTTAGAACTATTAGCCATCTTCATGTTTTTCTTTTATATATTACCTAGAACTTTTCAAGTCTTCAGTTAACCATTTCCTAGTATTTTTACTTATTCTCTATTTTAAAGTATCTCATAACTTAATAGTGGTTGCTTGCAATCTTGTTGGAAGTAAATTAGAGTTTGAAAATATATAAATATATGCCAGTATTAAATTAATAGTTAATGTAAGCATAAAATTATAATATATAAAGTATTAAAAAATTTTTTCTAGGCCTGGCTATGAACCCCTGCTAAATCTTATAGTTCACCTGGGGCCGGGATTGAAAAAAGCCGGCTACATAGCCAGCTTTTTTCAAACTCAGCCCCAGGTGACTATAGCCGGCTACATAGCTTACAGGTACTAAATAGCTTGCAACTACTATAGCCGGCTACATAGCTTACAGGTACTAAATAGCTTGCAACTACTATAGCCGGCTACATAGTTTACAGGTACTAAATAGCTTGCAGGTTACCTGCCCACAATATATATATATATATATATATATATATATATATATATATATATATATATATATATATATATATATATATATATATATGTATATGTATATATATATATATATATATATATATATATATATATATATATATATATATATATATATATATATATATATATATATGTATATGTATATATATATATATATATATATATATATATATATATATATATATATATATATATATATATATATATATATATATATATATATATAATACCGTCCATAATTATTCGAATGACAAACTTTTTTATAAAATGATTTATTTAAAAAAACTTTTAATATTTATGTTTGCTTTATTTGGTGACAAATTTTTTGAAAATTTTTGTATGATAATTTTTTAACTGTTGAAAAAGTTTCACACATATATCCTATTTTGTTGACGTAATTAATGGACAGCCATTATAATTAATTTTGAAGAACACCCTAATTGTTGGATAAGTAAATGTGGTAAATAACTTATAGGATTTTCGAGAATTTTTACCGATATGAAAATATTTTAAATTTTTTTCAAGTTTGAAAAAAAAGATTGACACCTGGTAAAAATACCAACTGAGGTCAAAAGGTACAAAGGTCTCGCTCATGCTGTAACTGTTTAGAAAATTAATTTGAAACTTTTCAGTGAAGAAATAAAATATGCTTAGGAAGTAAAGTTTTCAAATTTACATATACCATTTTGCGAGAAATCAGGCATCATTTTTTTTTTTTTTCTTAACTCTTTATGTTTGGTAGAACTAGTAAATTTACTGTCTTTTTTGTTGTTATTTTTTTACATTATGTGTCACCCTGTATATAGAAAGATACTTACAAAAATAGTCTTTAATCTTTAGGTTCCAACCCACCCTTTCCCCTCTCCCTCAACTAGCAAGTGGCATCGACTTCTCTTCTGTTTTTTTTTTTTTACTATTTTTTTTTTTTTATCATTATTTGTCTTTATAAACTCTTCACTTTACTTTCATGAATATTTTCTTAAGGAAATTCATGAGTGTAAAAATTCCTAATATAAAACATTTTCATTGATGTTTGAATTATTTTTATTGATATTTAATGAGTATTTTACTTTCTTCATATATTAAAATTTATCAAGTTTCGTTTTGCCAAACGCTACTTGCTCAAAAAATGCCATTGGACAACAGTCCATGTTGACTATGGGTAAAGACAGCACTGGAGAGATAAAGAAAGAATTTTATTGATATTTAATAAATTCATTTATGTTTTGTTACACTAATGTTTTAATCTTTTTTTAAGGAATATGAAACCACGGATATTAACGGATGTTCTTATTCTGGAAAAGATGAAATAAAAAGTATGTTTGTACCGAATGGTAAAAGGGTTGAGATGTGGTCAGATAAAAATTTCGGAGGCATGGAGCTAGGGCCATATATTGGCCCATTAACCATGAAAGCTGTTGATGGAGTACTCAGCAATTATTCAATTGATTCTTTAAAAGTTTTTGAAGAAGATTTAACTAAAAATAGAAGAAGAAAAAAGATATAACTAAAGATATGTAAAATCTAAATTATATAATATATGTTTTGCTTTTGAAATCTGCTTTCATTAGGAGTCGTCCATAAAGTACATACGCCAAAAATTCTGAAATTTTACACCCCTTCCCCCCTGTTGCCATGCTTACTTTTAAGTCCCCACCCTTCTTAAAAAGTACGTACGTTTTTCATATACCCCCCCTCCCCCGTTGAAAAAAAAAAGGTAGATACTTTAAAAGTATCTAGGGTACCTCCATCTTTTTTATTTCAATAAATTTTTATATTAAAAAAAAAAAATAGGCGGGGGTGAAAAACGTATAAAATATTTATACGACCCCAAACCCCTTTGTTAGCGGCAAAAGATTCCAATTTAAAAAACATCAGCTAATATATACGAAACATATATATTAATAAAACAATTTAAAAATACAAACTAAATAAGTCCACATTGCACATTTTCCAGACCAACATTGTCAGTGTTATAATGCCTAAATGGGGTTCGTGACCCTACTAAGCAGAGTAGGGAGGCTCTAGTAATCTCCATGGAAAGACGTGTCCTTAGCCAATTTATAACAGCTCCGTACCGCTCACCCATTTTTAAGGACAGTTTCTGTGCGAGTAGTGCCGTGAAGCGTATATATACAAAATGTAAATTTAAATAAAATTAAATCTAGCTATATCGAAGAGCTCGTTTGGCCAAGTGTATAATGGTATAGGCAGTGACAGTGGAGACCCGAGTTCGATTCCTAGTAAATTCCTACCTTGCATTATTTTTTTGTTTAATAAGACGCATCAAATAAAAATAAAAAATATACTTAAGGCAGACGCTTTTTTCAGGCACCCCTTTTTAGTAAGTCCGTAAAGAGCGAGAAGAGTAACATTGAAAACAAGGCTTAAAACCCAGTGCCAAGTGTAGGCTACCCATATCTCGTTTAGAGGAGGTGGGGTGTAGTGGGTGAGCAGCAAATTTTATGCTCTTTTGCTATTTTATTTTAGCGGTAAAATTTGGAAGATTTTGCGACCCTAATGACACGAATATTTTTTTGAGGAGAGGGGGGGTCTCCAACCTATTAGCCACTGCACTGCTAAAACCTGTTTTTTGTTGACTCAAAAAATAGGCAACCTATTTTTTGCACATGCATTCACACATGCCACCCCTTATATACTGGCCCTGAGAATACTCAGGGCCAGTATATAAGGGGTGGCATGGGCGCCTGCAGGATTTTTTCATGTTCCAGATAGGACACTTTTACACATTGTGCAAACTCTAAACTTGAGTATGTTTATACCTATGCCAAATGAGGAGACCTGTCAACAAATAGCCCTGAAACGTTTGCCCTTCCCCCCCCCCCCTGCTCAAACGTGAGGGCACTTATGTTGTAAAATTTTTAACTTAACGATCTAAAACTAAATTCAAATTTATCGACAGAATTTAAATTTCGTTGAAAAATATTTTAAATTACAAAAGTTATGTCGATCCAAAATGTACAGCCCCTTATTTATTTATATTTTTGGGGGTCGGGGGTCGAAAAATTTTACTACATTAGTGCCCTCACGTATGGAGAGGGGAGGGGATGCAAGTATTTGAGGGTTTTTTTGTTCCCAGACTACCGCCATAACAATTTTTTGCAAGACCTTTTCAAATGGCATAGGTATAAACATATTTAAGTTTGGAGTTTGCACAATGTGTGGATGTGGTTTATCTGGAACATCAAAAAATTCTGCGGGCGTCCATCATGTGTGTGCATAGAGAGAAACTATCCCAGTGAAAAAGCGCACATGGGATACGCGTGAATTTTTTCCATATGTAACCCATGTGGGGATTATTATTTTGTCCCATGTGGGTTCCATATGGTAAATCCTACATGGGTTCCATATGGTAATTCCCACATGGGATACGCGTGAGCTTTTTCCATATGTAACCCATGTGGGGATTTATTACTTTGTCCGATGTGTTTTGTTTTTTTGTTGTAGTTTTTACATTCATGTTTCCACATTTGTGTGGTTTGGATTGCTCTCCATAGCGATATATAAATGCCGTTATGAAAGAGTTAAAGCAATCTTTTACAACCGTACGCCCTTCCTGACGTTAACATGCAGTAAGTTTTACTAGATTACATGTTACCAGTAGCAGAATAACTTGACCTGACGGTCAGCGTATCTGGATTATATATGGTAAATCCCACACGGGTTATAGGTTGAAAATACCACATTTTTTATAGATCTTAAATGCCACATATTCTAATTCAAATGCTATAAAAGTAGCGAATACCATATAAATGAAACATCGAAATTAATCATGGAAGCTTTCAGAGAGGCTTAAATTTATCTGGTATTAGCTACTTTATACTATTTAGGATCAAATATATGCGATGTTCTCCACAAATAATATAGGATTTACCATAAAGTATTATAACAAAATTCTACAAAATTAAAAAATGTGTTGCCAAATGAATTTATATTTAAATAATAGCTATTAATAAATACATTAAAAATAAATGTGAAGAATATTATTTGTTCTCTTGTGATTTACACGCTTTTTGTCTATTCAATTAATAAAGTAAATCGCCTTGGCTTGCTCAATGCTAAGGTTTTTACCATATTAAGAAAAACTACTTTCTTCAAGGATTTCCTAAAAATATATATATATTCATCTACAAATATAACTATAAATAAATTTTAATAAAAACAAATATCAATAATAACCTAAATCAACCTAAATTATACGGTTATTATAGATTAAAATAATAAGAACAATCGTAATTTGAAGTCTTATTAATTAAGAGCAGTTTTAATTAGGAATTTATTTCACACATAATTAGTTGTTCAATTATTACTTACGATGACTAATGTATTATGGATAATTTGACAAAAGCTTATATCCGTTCATGAGAATCTAATTCTCATTAAATCAATTCTCAGAAAAAGTGCTCAATTAGGAAAAGTGATTAAACAAAAAAATAAAACAAAACATGTAAGAACCTACTTTACAATAATGTACACATTAAGTGCAATATTATCTTTACTTTTTCGTCACAAATATTATAATATATATAAATATATATACAGTGAGAACAGAATTTAATCGTACAAAGTAATTTTTCCATTTTATTTTACTAAAACTTGTTTTTAACTTAAATAATATTGATAAAAATTGAAACATTTTTTTTTTAATTTATTATGACTATTACTTATTTATAATTTTTTAGTAAATATGTAAGAAAATGTGTTTACTATACAATTTTTTCTTTTATTCTCAAACAGGTATTAAATTGCATGCACATAAATTAATTGTGCAAAACTGTTTTATTGGTAATTCGTTATGAAAATGAATGTTTATAATTTTTTTAATTTATAAAACATCAATTTTATTATTGACTTTGTATTTCTAGAACATTATTTTTAGCAATTAATAAAATTTTGGAAGAAAAAGACATTAATAAAAACTCTGTTTATTGTACGGTATGGCACCCAAAGGTAAATATTTAAATACTACTCAATGAAAACTTGTTATAGACTTGGTTAAACAAGGAAATACTTATAGAAAAGTTGAAGAACTGACAAATATTCCATTTACAACAGTAGGAGCCATTGTAAAGAAATATCAACAATATAAAACTTTTAAAATTCATACTGGACGAGGGCGAAAACGGAAGACAAGTTCAAGAGACGATAGAGAAATTTTAAGAATGATAAAAAAAAATCGGTTTGAAACTGCAAAAAATATAGCAAATCATTTGAAATACTTAACAGGAAACACAATCTCACTTACATCATTTAGAAATCGCATTCATAAAGAAGAGTTCAGTGGATGTATAGCTCGTAAAAAACCATTTTTAACAAAAAATCATATGAAGAGAAGAATGAACTTTGCAAAAAAGTATTATTTAATGCCTGTATCATTTTGGAAAAAAGTTCTTTGGTCTGATGAATCCAAGTTTAACTTAAAAAAATCTGATGGTGCACAAAGAGTTTGGCGAAAGAGTGGTGAAGCTTTTCATTTAAGTTGCACACGAGGAACAGTTAAACATGGAATGGTGTTGGTAAACTTGAGTTAATTGATGAAACTATGAATGCTGATTTGCATAAAAATATATTGAAACGAAGTTTAAAATCTTCTGCCAAAAAGCTTAGATTGGGAAATACTTTTTTGTTTCAACAAGACAATGATCCAAAACACACTGCTAAAAAAACTAAAAGCTTTCTCAATGAAAATGGCATAAACGTTTTAGAATGGCCTTCGCAGAGCCCTGATTTGAACCCAATAGAGCATTTATGGACTTTATTAGATAAAAAATTAGGTAATAGATCATTTATAAAAAAAGAAGATTTGAAGAAAGCTGTTGTTAAATCATGGTCTAACATCGACAATAATCAAATTAAGTGTCTAGTAGAATCAATGCCAAAACGCTTGTTAGATGTAATTAAAGCAAAAGGAGGACCAACTAAATATTAAAGTATATTATTAAATTATAAAAACTTGAAACTGTTTCTCAGTTATTTTAATAAACTCGTATTTTTTCTTAGCTTTAACCTATAACTCTTTTTTTGTACAATTATTTTATGTGCTTGTGTTTTTATCCCTTTCTTCGTTTTAGAATTCCTAATTAGGTAATTTAAATACTGAAATAAAAATTTTACTTTTTTTTTGAAGGTCTTTTAACAAATAAAAAATTAGAGAAAAAAAAAAGTCTTTATATTTAGTGCATGTTACAATATTTTATTCAAAGATGTAAATTTCATTGAAAAATTACTTTGTACGATTTAATTCTGTTCTCACTGTATATATATATATATATATATATATATATATATATATATATATATATATATATATATATATATATATATATATATATATATATATATATATATATATGTGTATATATATATATATATATATATATATATATATATATATATATATATATATATATATATATATATATATATATATATATATATATATTCGTCATCTATTAGACTGGCGCAGATGTATTTTTAATACATTGTTTCCAGTTTAGGATGTTGAATGCTGGATCTTCTTGACTCGATTCATGGGTTTTGCTTG